CCAATCTCTGTCCCCGTCATCTTGGCCCCTGTATTTTACCTTCCTTGGAGGGGGCTGCATGGTCCCGCTGTCTGTCTGCAGCCTCCCTCTTCCTCTCTGAGAAAATGATTTATATAGCTGCCATAATAGAAACCAGCTCAAGCAGTAAGGTAGCAAGGGATCTTGAATGAACAATTAAAGAGAAAAAGACAAGCAAGAAAGGAGCGAAAGCGGGCAAACGAGCGCAGGCAAACTAGAGCAAGCCAGAGAGAGCGAGAGCGATATCGATCGAGAGAGAGCAAGCGAGCGAGAGAGCAAGCGATCATGAATGAACAGGAAGTTATGTAGATCACTTCCCATTAATTCATAATTGGGGACACAGTAAACATACTCTGACCTCAATTTTTTACAAACACTCAACGATCACTGACTGCTTGTACCAGCTCTCCGTCCTGACTGTTACAGGATGACGAGTGGGTGGTGCGGGGAGGAGTGCTTGATCTGCTCTGACAGCTGACTCCTCCTACCGCACCTCCGGCCCGGCATCCTGTGACAACCGTCTCCTCCCCCCACACCGCCACTCTACTGATCTGTCACAGGATGCCGAGCACGGCAGTGTGGGAGGAGAGTTTAGCCTCCTGTAACAGCACTGACAGCTGTCTCCTTCCCCCACAGTTCTCCTAATCTGTCAGAGGAGGCAGAGTGGTGCGGGAGGAGAGACGACAGCCACTCACATCGCTCTCCTCCCGCACCGCTCAGCCTCCTGTGACAGTTTCTCTTCTCCCCGCTGGACGCTGCACTGTGTCAGGGATGCACCGCTATTTTGGCCGAAAGATGGTACTTTCTGCATTTTGCCAAAAGTGCCATTTTTGGCCAATATGTTTTGGCGGATGAAATTTCTATGCATCCCTAAAGTAAACAGATCCTAAACATTTCAAGCCTTAAAATTGCATATGCCTGTGAAATGGCAAAAAACTATGGTACCCAAACCTGTCCAAAGGAGGCACTTCAAAAGCCTTTACTGCTTACCAATTTAGAGTTAACAGTAAATTATAGCCCTATAATTACTGCTTACTTCAATGTACACAAGGATACCCAAAATCTGTAGGGAAGTCACTGTTTACATAAACGTACTCGCTCTATACAAACACTTAAATTTGTGTTTGGGGGTCGCGGGTGCTTTTAATAAAATATATATTTTATAATTTACTTGAACACTTAACCATTAAACTTTATTGCTATCACAAGGGGAAACAAGCCCCTATGTGACAAAATTGACAGGTACTTTTTATGGAGATCTCAGAGGTCTATGAGACCCATAATGTGCTCCCTGCCCTCTGCTAGAGCAGATCAAGCACGATTATGATTACTTATACGGGTCCGAGAAGGCAACACCTTGAGGTCCAGGTATATCATATGGTGCTCAAGTAGTGATATATGGGTATGGAAAATTGGTCAGCAGCAAAACTGACTTACCTTTCTTTTGGGATACATGTCTTTTTGAAACGTCTTATGGTGACAGAAACCTCCTGGAGCAAGTCACATCCCCTGAGGTTATCGACTTTCCGTGAAGAAGGGCCGGCATCCATTTTTGCAGCAGCCTTATCCTTCAACAAAGAAAAAAAAAAGTTAAAATTTTCTTTTGTTATGGGCAAAAAAAAAATTTGAAATTGACAATACACATGCCCATACCTTGCCTGGAACAACCTTAGCCAGTAATGAGGCAAGAGAATGCCCTTTTACACTTTGTGGCTTTAATGAAGGTATCCGCACAACTGGCCTGGCTCCATTACACAGCTCCTCTGCTCCTCTATCATTTACAGTCTTCACATGGATTAAAAAAGAACGATATTTGCCACCAGCCATCCCTAAAACAAAAACAATTACATTTCATAGCCAGACAAAAAGCAGATCATTCACAGCCAGTCTCTGGGCAATCTCTCAATCCTTTATCTTTTTTCTCAATTGTAGCATAAAATGTATATAGCATTAGAACTTCAAAGAAAAAAAGCTTTCCTTGGAGGTTTTTTCTGTACTGTATTTGTTTTAGATAGAGATGGAAAGGGTTAGAATAGTGGTAGGCAACCTTTATTTGTCCCCAGTGAGCATATTATCCCACAGTTGCCATTCTCTTTGAAAAGGGAAATCTTGAGGTATATCAGCAGTAATAAAGCAGCAGTAGGTCATTGTCAGAAGTGATCTGTTGCTGCACAGTTACACGTTCATTTGTTTATTTTACCTTTTTAAACACTTTAGTCATTTACATTGTTAGCGATCAAAAACCTAGTGAAAAATTCACTGCCAACCAACTTGTACCCTCGCTAACCCAACTTGAGTTTAAGCTTGAGGTTATTCTACCAATTTCTTCACTTTGAGCTTTACCATTCCTCTATGTTACATAAAAGTCGAACTAATGGCAGTGCACAAAAGATTTCAATGTTGCATAAACTACAAGACAACTGAATGTTTACCATTTATTCCAAATAAATACCAAGGAAATAATGTATTCAAATCTGCTACAAATTATAGATAATTAATAATAACATCAAGGTAGACCTTCAGACCGATCTGCATGAGTTTCTGCACACGCAGTGCAGTGTGTTTTGCTGCGTTTTTGACGCATTCAGGGCCATTTTTGTAAAAAAAAGAAATGTTTTTTTAAAGTTTACAATGGGCTTTCAGTGCGTTTGCATGCACTCCAGAGCAGGTAAAATAGGGCTTGCTGCAGTTTTTTTTAACATGCTCTGGAACTACTTCTGTGTACATATACAGGTCTATTCACACTGAAGAGATTGGGGAAGGCAGGAGGAGTGAACAATCTAGGACAACATAGCTGAACTGGAAAGTGAGCAGAATTGGAGAATCTTTCCAGTTCAGTTATGTTGTCCTAGATTGTTCACTTCTCCTGCCTTCTCCAATCTCTTCCTCTTTATTGAAAGTTCCCATAAATACCTTAGAATTGTTTCAATGAACCTCTTCTGCATTCATTTAATTTCCATTATGCCTGACTATAAATCATTTTGCCTTTACAACAACTCCCTTTGTAACCACCCTTTCAGATGCACTACAAGTGTACGTGATCAGGTACACTCTGTCTTTACAATAGTCCTTCAGTCTCTCAGCTTATACTAGTCAGGGCCCAAACTTCATTGGTTGCTGCTCCCCCCTCCCAGCTTCACTCGAGTCCAGGCCCTATCTGCTGTACATGACTTAGAGGTCCAGGGCTCGGAGAAGCAGAAGCTGAGCCAAATAACAATTTAAGCTTTATAGCTGGACCACTGCCCTTTATACTGTGCGATGCACAGCAGGGCAATACATGCAGGGTGGGGGTCCTTACTCTAGTGCAGTACAGATCTCGGTATGTGGATGCTTATTGCTTGGTTTTGTTGATCTGCCGTGCAAAGTGCAGATTATGATAGCTGCGGAGTAACTAGAAGGGAATAATGTCACAACAATACAAAAACAGTATGATCAATATACTAGTGTCACTGTCCAAACTGTATAGTGCAGAAGGGGAAGGAGCAATTCATGTGTGGCAGGAATTTTTAACACTCCCTTTAATTACATGCACTGCAAAGGAGACATGAGATGTAGTTTAGCAATACACAGAAAGCTGACATATCAGGGTGAGGTTTAACTTACAAGCTTTGTTTAAGTGAAGCAGGAGAATATTTAACTTACCTTTGACAAGTTTAGGACTTGTTAATGTCAGCATGCCAGCATGACCTGAAAGATCAAGACCACTTGCTAGCCAAACAGGACCACACAAGATATCTTCTTTGTGCTCTTCTAAAAATGGACACAACCGTGGGCCTACGAAACAAAAGACCATATTTTAACCAGCTATTACTGACAGCATTAAAAAGCAGCATAGACTTTAAAATAAGCCTTTAAACAAGTAACAAAATGACAGACACATTACTAAAACCCTTTTTGATGAAGTGTGTTTTGCGCCTTTATTTCTTAATAAGCGCAAGTTTAATTTTCCCTACAAAAGGAGATCAGGCACATTGTTGTCTTCTGTTTCTCTCTGGCCATAGACAGAGCCAGCCACCAATCGCTTTACTGTTATTGTGGTTTGCAAAGACACAAGAAACAGTGGGCCCTACCGTACTCAACATGGCAAAACATAGCCAGTGTGCAGCCACAATTTGCATTAAAAAATATTTGATGCATGAACTATACTACCATACTAAGAATTTACAGTTGGGTTATGCTTAATTTAAAGAGAACATGATGAATGGCTGAAGTTTCCTATATTACCTAACATGAATGGAGGCAAATAGCTTCACACCTATTTTACACAAACAGAAGGGAGCATAATTTTACTAGAGATTGTTTTATTACAGTTGTCCTTGAATAAATAGCCAAATCAATAATTACATTATGAGCATCTACTTAAAAAGGAGAACTATGGGGTAAGTGTTATTCCCCATAGTTCTCCTAAGGGTCACGGGAGGACATAAACTAGCGTCCTCCCGTGACCCAAAGCTCAGTATATCGTGAGCTACAGACCGCCACAGCCGGGACGGATACCGACATTACTGCCTGTCTATCTGCTATCTAGTGGCAGAGCCAGCTGTACCCGCCCTCTCCCCCATTACGCCAGTCAGCGCTGGAGGATAGGAGCGGGAAGGGGGGGAATACCTGCAGAGAGCCCTGAGTGACAGTCATGGCTCTCTGCAGGGATAGATCGAGAAGTGAGCAAGCGGCGGTATTCGTTCACTTCCGATCTATTAAGACGACGTGTGACAGTTTCATTGTCACAGGTCGGCTCGAACTACGAGATTGAGTGAAAATCACTCGCCTCATAGTTCTCCATTAATGGAACATTTAGTGCAGAGAAACAAAATATATAAAAAAGGCACTTACTCTGAGAGTCCTCTACTTCCATGCCTTGCAAGTCCTCACTTAAATCTACCAGGGTTGGTCTTCCATTTCTCTGAACTTCCACACTGAAGGCAGGAGACAGAGGAAAGGAGATGGGTCTATCTACCGGAGTTTCTATAGGAAAAGCAAAAAAATTATCAGAAGTGACACTACATAGATGTTTGCTTTTGGGAGAAGACAAGCATATACAGCATGAAAAGCTGGACCAAAAAAAAGGTAGTCACCGCAAGAATTTGTTCTCATTAAAACATCAGCATGCCCACTAAGCAAACAGATTACATGACCTGGCTTTGTTTTCAGTTGCTACAAGGTAAGAGGGTAGGGTATCCCTAGCAAGCTCCGAGGTAAGAGGGTAGGGTATCCCTAGCAAGCTCCGAGGTAAGAGGGTAGGGTATCAATAGCAAGGTCTACTCAAAGTCTAGAACTGACTGAATGTACTAGCTAAGGACAAGGCCGCCAACTCCCCAAGCAACTAGCATCTATCCTTGCAGTTCTCCATTTTGCGCCTTGCAAAGCCCCTGGCTTTTGGTGCAAAACAAAACAGCCAAAAGAAGAGTGCCAATAAACCTCCAACTGAATGGGACGCACAGAAAACAATAGTTTTCTGTGTCCTTGTGGTGACCAGTGTTTTGGTAAAGCAAAACGCAGGTCATTGCAGTATGTGTGAACTATAGATCCAAGATTCTATAGACCAGTTTCAATCAGCTTTTAACAGCGTAGAAACACCTGCTAGTCATTCTTAGAGGGCTAGGAGCTAGCCAAGAGCCGCTCTTGTGAAGTGGTTTACCTACTGGGAGTCTATTAGCCACTTGCTGACCGGGGTGTTAACACCCCCTTCCTGCCCAGGCCATTTTTCAGTATTCAGCGCTGCAGTACATTGACTGACATTTATTCTGTCACGCAACGCTGTACTGAAATGAATTTTATACCCTTTTTTGGGGACACATAGAGCTTGCTTTTGGTGGTATTTAATCACCACTGAGGTTTTTATTTTTTACTATATAATGAAAAAAGTACCGAAAATTTAGAAAAAAAACCTGTTCTCCTTACGTTATGTTATAAAACATTAGCCAATTTTTTGGTAAAATATAAAAGACGGGGTCACTTCGGGTAAATAGACACCAAACATGTGAAGCTTTAAAATTGCGCGCACCCGCTAAATCGCAAAAAACTACAGTACTCAAAATTGACCATAGCCTATGCTTTAAAAGCTTTTACCACTCATCAGTTTAGTGTTATCAGTGATTGATGGCCCTAGAATTATTGCTCTCACTCAGGCAATATGTAACATGTGCGGCACAATGGCTGTAATCGTCGTTTTTGCACGTAGGCGGATTTGACGCATGTTTGCATGTGGGGGCGGGGGACTTTAATTTTTATTTTATTGCTTTGATATGTGATCTTTAATTTTATTTTGTAACAAATTTTTTTAAACCTTTTTTTTCTTTATTGCTATCACATAGGGAGCAAACAAGCTCCCTATGTGATAGCCAATTTGCAGCGACAGGTCCTCTTTATGGAGACATCAGGGGTCTTTAAGACCCCTAATGTCACCTTGGGACCCCCAGAGAAGCTGCTTCACCAGCTTCTCTCCAGTTTCTGTACCGGAGAGTGACACTGAATGCAGGCAGTGACGTAATGCACATCACTGCCTGCATTCCGAAGGAGAGCTGCTGTGCTGGTCCCGGGCTCGCACCAGGCACAGCGGAGCTCGGGAATGTCAGTAGCGGCTGCGACGGAGGAGGGCACATGGTGTTTACACCCCCTTCCTGGCCAGGCCACTTTTCAGTATTTAGCGCTACAGTAGTTTGACCGACATTTATTCCGTCATGCAACGCTGTACTGAAATTAATTTTATACCATTTTTTGGGGACAGATAGAGCTTTCTTTTGGTGGTATTTAATCACCACTGCGGAATTTATTTACTATATTAAAAAGGAAAAATTACTGAAAATTAAAAAAAAAAAAATTCCCATTATGTTAGGAAACCATTACCAAATTTTTTGGTAAAATATAAAAGGGGTCAAGTCGAGTAAATGGACAAACACGCCAAGCTTAAAATTTGCACGCAGCCGCGAAATCGCAAAAAAACAACTATCATACCCCCAAATTGACCATAGGCGACGCTTTAAAAGCTTTTACCGCTCATCAGTATAGCGTCATAAGTGATTGATGGCCCTAAAATTATTGCTCACTGCGATGTTCGCGGCGATATGTAACATGTGCAGCATAATGGGCGCAATCGTCGGTCTCGCACATGTTTGCATGCGTGTATGTATGAGTGGAATTTTTTTGTTTTTTTATTCTTTTTTATGTGTAACTTTAATTTGGGGGGGAGGGCGACTAATATTTTTTTTTCAATTTTTTTTTTTTCACTTAACTTTATTTCGATCACATAGGGGTCTAAGAAATTCCCCTATGTGATAGAAAAGAGATGCGACAGTTCGTCTTTATGGAGACATCAGGGGTCTGACCCCTAATGTCACCTAGGGACCCCCAGAGAAGCTGTTGAAGCAGAGATCTGCTTCATTAGCTTCTCTCCAGCGTCTGAAGCTGGAGAGTGACAGCAGAATGCGGAAGTGATGTAATATAGAGGGGACAGGAGGGAGATCGTGTACCGATATCCTTTTGATCCCCTGTGACAGCCCGGGCTCGCACCGGACACAACGGAGCACGGTATCAGCTGGACAGCGGAAAGCGGGTGGGGGTTAGGGGGGTCACACCGGCCGGCAACTTATACAAGCGATCCGCCGGGTCCATAGCCGACGGATCGCTTGTATGTTAACAGGCCTCGCTGCCTGTTTTTACATTGTGGGTCTTTCCAGCTTGCGCAAGTGGGCGTGGCTGAGCGGACATCTAAAGACGCCCGCTCAGATCTAGAGACATTTTTCTGGTTATTCGTTGAATAAAACTTGTATTAACCACCTCCCGGCCGGCTGTTGTAAAAAAAAAAACGGCCGGCAGGGAGGTAGTTAATAAAAGTTTATACAAAACTTGTATTAATAACCAGAAAAAGGTGAGTATGCTGCCCTGCAGAACGAATATTTAAAAATATCTTACTTGGGAAGCTTTTACAGAAAACTTGCTAAAAGATACAAATAATTCAGATACTATAAGGAGCTACAGAAAAATTTGATGCACAGCATTTTCAACTTTAAGGCTAGTACCTACACTTCCAAATATTTGGAATAACTACTGTAATAGGAGCAAATGCTATAAATTGTCACGCAAGCACAAAGTAAAAAAGGCTACGTACAGATTAATATACTAAGCAGTTTCATAAATGATCTTATCTTAGTGATGCTATAGGTTAAACAGATTGTATAAAAACAGGCAATGTAACAATTGTTACAGTAAATTGAAGATTTTGCACCTTTCACAGAAGAAAAAAAAATAAAAACAAAAAAACACTTGGTAGGGAATGGTGGTGCAATCTTACCATTAACTTTGACTAATCCTGGAGCTTTGTTTTTAAGTAACGTTACTTGAATTTGAGGAATGTTTGTAATATTAGAGTTCAATAAAAACTTAAAGTCCACGTGTCCCACCATGCAGGCTTTTGGTAAAACCAGTTCAAAGACGTGTTCATCCCAACTAGTGCTGGCGACAAAAAAAAAAAATTTAAAAAAACACATACACTTATAGTAAACACATTCTAAAAGGAAGAGCGTGGTGTCACAAATCTTTCAAAAGTGGTATCTACTATAAACATCCCTGTTCCAAGTGACCAATGAATGCTTTTTAAAAGTTTGTTTTGCTTGCTGAAAAAGTTCTACAACGCCAAAGCAAACCTTATGAGCCTGACCTGTGCCAGTAAATTAAATGATGGAACATTACACAGAATATTTTTTCTCTTTGGACAGAGTGGGTAAGGGTTAGAACCGCTATTGTGTTGACCAGCAAAACATTATATATTTTCTGAAAGCAGGGAAGCTGTAAAATTAAATAGTTGCAAATTGTGAAGTTGCATAACATTTGCACAATTGTTTGCCAAACTTAAACTTTCAGTAAAAATTACATTAAAATAATTTAAGTTACATAACCACCAAGTAATCTCCATTTTTTTTTTAAATATGAAAGAGAACGCCAAATGTTTCAGGTCTCAAAATTACTTGCACCTGTGAAACAGTGGCAAATGATTTTCAAATATACCAAATATGTGTTGCGAAATTAGTGTTAACATATATGCATATGTCCTAGGTGCATGTTTCTGCTACCCATAGAAGTGATGGGGCAACTTTTAAACCATCCTGATCCCTTCAACATTAAAGCCCAGTGCCTGATAATGCTTTAACAAGCTCACTTCAGCTACTGCATTCCTTTATCAGGTTTTTTTGCCATCTGTGTCCCTCTTTTTTTCCCTTCACGTTCAGTCTGTAAACACAACAGTAAGTAAGAGGAAAAATTTGACAACGGAGGAAAACCCCTTCTTAGAAAAAGGTCATCAGAACAAATGTTCCCTGTAGAAAATGTCCCCTCACCTCCCGTTTTGGTGATAAGTCAAAATTTTAGATTTCTCATCACATTCAGTTCCATTGACAATTGTTGTTAAGATACATACCGTGTTCATTTCCCTAAAGTAAACACAGACGTAATAGCCTGAAAAGAGTTCTAACTTTTACCACTCTATTCAAAACTTTTTTTTTTTTTTTAAAGTTGCCATTACAAAAAGTTTCCCAATTGTGGGGATTCATTTCACTTGTGGTAACTACGGGATACACTTCCTAAAGAGGGACACAAAATGCAAACTCCTGGCAAATGTTGCAATACACAGGTTTCAGGGACACAGGAAGTCATTACCTGTCATGTACTGTCAGCTATACTGACGCCTGCAGGAGGACTCAACACAAGCAAACAAAAAACTGTAGACCAGTCAAGGATAACCACTCCTACTAAAAACATGCCTCAGCTTTGAAGTACAGCAGAACCAAGATTATGATCAAAACACAGGAGATAGCACATGTGTCCCTCAGTGGACTCCAAGAGTACATAGAGTACACTCCTACTTAAAGTATCAAGACTTTGTAAGGAGTTGAACAGACCTACTACAACTTGGGAAGGAAGGATTAATCTTATTAAAATGTTTGTTCTTCCTCACATATTATATATGTTCCTAGCACTCCCTATTGCCTTCTTACCTAAAAAAAAAAACTACAGAGTATCCTTGACAATTTTATATGGAATGGCAAGAAACACAGAATATCAAGACAATGTCTTCACACACCCAAAGCCTATGCTGGTATGGAAGCACATGATATTGCTAAATACTATAAGGCAAACTTGCTGGATCAAGCGAAGTTCTGGTGTTCACCTCGCCCTGACAGACTATGGTCCCAAATTGAGTGATATCTTGCATAAAAACCTCGAGCTTTTATTATGCTCCTCCCTTCTCAACAGCCCCCCCCCCACTAAACATTTTCTAGACACAGTCACAGCAACACTACGGGTCTGGCACACCTTCGACACGCCGCCACACTCCTGCAGCAAATCCCTTCTTAAACACCTACCTCTGCTCACAATGGAGTATGTCTTAGACGACATGCACTTGTCAAATTGGGTGAGTTTGGGGCTTACCCATTTACATGCTCTATATACGGATGGTCATTTATTGTCATTTGATGAGTTGCGTAGCACATATACCCTTCCAGTTAGAGATTTCTACAACTACCATCGCATACGACATTTTTTGCAATCGATAGGTGTTATAGGGGGATCGCTCCTTAAGAGAGGCATACATTTTTTTCTGTGCTAGTTCTTCACCCGCAAAGGGAATCTCCTTTTATAATCTTCTAAGTGAGCCCATATCTCAAGATAAATTACCGTCTATGAAGTGGTGGGAGACTGAATTAAACTTTTCAATTTCCCCAGAACAATGGTACAAAGAGATCTCATGGCCTTTGTTGGCTCCTTAATACATATCTGGTGGTCTTGTGTCTCCATCAGATCCTTTTGGGATTCGATCTTCTCTATTATTTCCACAGTTACTCACCTTCCTTGCAATGGGTCCCCACAACTTGCTTTATTGGGGATTGGACTAAATGAATGGCCTATTAATTCTAGAACTGTAGTCTCACACATCCTTATAGCTGCTCGCCAGGCAATAGCGAGGGCATGGAAACAATCGGAACCTCCGTCACTCGGCGTGGTTGTACACATATTGAACACGCATGTCCACTTTGAATTTTTGTTTCCCAAAGCTAATATGAAACTCCGCACCTTCACCTTACAATGGGCCTGCTGGTTGGCAGACGCAAGATGCATGACTCAGGTATCATGACCCCAACTAATACTCCTAAAAGCAACAAAATACTGCTTCCTCAGTATGTTTATCACTTATTAGACTTCCATGATCATCACATACTTTCTTGAGACAGTAGAGAGAACACAACCTCCACCAACTATCCTGTCTCTTCTGGGCTACATATGGACTCTCTCCTATGGAGGTCTGTTTATATAAGACTTACTTTTTCAGTTATGTTACTTGCTTACTACCTGTTAATGCTGCAATATCACCACTTACTGTTGACTTTTCCCATACAGTTGTTTATTGGATGACCTGGAATACTGCTGTATAACAATATTGAATACTATTTTACTTTTATCTAAAGATATTATTTATGTATGTATAGCAGGATTTTGTTTTCTGTATGTATCTATGTTGTGTAATTTGTTTTGTTTATTATTTCTGTTCTATTAGCAAAATCTAATAAATTAATTGTAAAAAAAAAAAAAAAAAAAAAAAAAAAAAAAAAAAAAAAAAATTTTTTGAAAAAAAAAAAAAAAAAAAAAAAAAAAAGTACAAAAAAAAATGTGTTCTAGTAAAAATAGATTAGATTTTTAACTTTGTGCATGATAACTGCAACTCTGATATATTTTTCTTCTCTTTATGTCTCAATATAACCTCACATGCCCACTGTGCTACTTTTTCTTCAAGCCATTGTAAACCTGAATAACTTTCTTGCATTATGTGAGGCTGCACCTTTTCTTTATTGAATCGTGCATTATACAAAAAGACAATAAAAAATATATTTTAAAAAGACTAGGATTAATCTTTTACACAGCAGAACTGAAGAAAAGTACATCCTCTTTGGACACTGGTAAATAACCTAGGCATGTTGGTAGTAGGAAGGGTTATCCTGGGCTAGTCTTAAGTTTTTTTGTTTGCCAGAGTCCAATCCTCCTGTAGGACTGACGGTCCAATGGGACTAACCAATATGGTTCTTGGGGTAACGAGTTTAGGACCTTGCAGTTACAAGGTAGAAGCATATCAGAGAATCGCACCACCTGTTTTGGTAGCTTACGAATGGCAGTCCTGAATACCAAAATATCACCCATGTCTACAGGGAGGACGACAGGAGGGCAAGACAAAACAGGAGAAAATCAAGATAAGTGATGCAGTCTTCCATGAAAAAATACACTTTCCTGCCAGCCCCCAAGCCACCCTAAAAAGGATCTACAAAAAAAGCCTCACCTCAGTTCTGGCTTCAACACTTCCAGGAGACATGGGTGATGTTAATGTGCTTCACCACAGTCTCCTGGGATGGCACTCAAAATCCATGGAAAATGTGCCTACACACTGCAGGACTGCATTCTTTAGGGATGCAGAGTGTGCAGGACATAGCAATGACATCACCCACACCTACTATAAGCATCAGAAACTGGGGGAAAGGTGAACTATTTTAAGTGTTTTTGCAGCCAATTTGGTTTCTGCAGTGGGGGGCTTACAGGAAAGTGGATCTTCCATTTTTTTTTTAAGTTGCCATTACAAAGTTTCCCAATTGTGTACCGCTTTAAACATGGAGGAAGAGAAAATAGCACAGCTAGGGGGAACACAGCAGGACGCAACATGTGTACTAAGCAATCCAGTGGGGAGAGGAATATCAAAGAAGACTGTGTGAACCTATACTGTAGGAACAGGAGGGTATATGCCAGTTCCAAAGTGTGCCCTTTTGGGCAGAAAACCAAAAGGATATGGCATAAAAAGTGAGATTACAAAAAAGAAAAAACTGGGTAAGACTTTACAGCAAGTCAAAAGATGTACTTTTTGAAAATACAGATAATATACCAAATGACCCAAAACCATTACAGTTTCCCTTTAATGTGACATTTGATGTAATGTTCAGTTCAAAACAGAAATATAACAATGCAATACCTGTCATGCTGCAGTTTCCAAGTGCGTGTGTGTTGAGCAGCATCACCATGGTGCTGCTGATGTAAGTGCTGTGGATGGCGTCTCTGTTGCTGCTCCTGCTGGACTTCAACCCAACATGGTGGTACAGTTGCAGAAAACCTTGGAATTAAGGTCTCAAAGCGAGTTAGTTCTACTAAACATGTCAACATTTCCAACGAGAACGGCTGTTCCACTAGGAGATCTACACCTGACAGATAAAAGAACATGCTTATTTGCCAAGTATGGGAATAAACCTAAGTATTAAATATTTACCAAACAAAAGAGTGATAATTTTGCCCATCTAACAGTGAAATATAAAAAATGTATCAAATATAATATGGAGAAATAGAAACAAACCCCACACATATAGGGGACTCACAAATGTACACTACTACAGTGGATGCACACATTAGGTACCTCCACATGCTCAACAGAACCATTTTATAGCCCTTATTTTAGTTCAACTATAAGCTAAAGGGGTAGCACCAAGCACATTGTACCACACACTAGCTGCATTGTGCGGTATGTTCTGCTAAATACACAGTATTGTGCTTTTAACGCAACGCTATAGTGTAAATAGTTGGTTCTCAACTGGTGGGTCGCGACCCCGTGTTCAGTGGGTCCCCGTGCGCCTTACATTTTTGTAGGCGAGAAGCTCCTCAGCCTGCCCCTAGCGCAGCAGTGCCAGTTCTTTTGCCAAGCAGCCATTCAAAATATGCTGCCCAATGCCAAGTGTCAGCTTGAGGTGGGGTGGGCTCCATCCATATGTGCATTGCTTACAGCTCCCTCGCATGTCCTGTAGAGGTGCATGGACCGGTGTGATGTCATATTCTGGCTCTCGGCACCTCTACAGGGTGTGCAAGGGAGATGTACAAGCACTGCACATATGGATGAAGCTCCATCACAATACAGCAAGCCCACACCGGACGAGAGAGAGAGTGAGAGTGAGTGAGTATGCCTACCACATGTTGTGTGACAAGTGCATTGCCATTCATTTGAATGGCACCCCAAATGCACCTCCCACCCAGTTCTATTGCCCATATTGGAACGTGCAGTACCGCAATGTCGTGCAATCCATTCCAGTGCAACTTGGGTCACGACTTAATGACAGAGGACAAATGTGGGTCCTGAGGTTACACATTTTGACAACCATTGATGTAAATAGACCCTTAGGTTGTTGCATTACAGTGTGTTGCCTTCCAGTGAAAAAGAGTAGTGTAAACGCTAGTAATGTCTAGGAATTTTTTTTTAGTTTTGAGCAGAGTTGATAAAGGATAAAATCTGTCAGGATTTGATTGTTGCCTGTGTCTCGCACTGAAAAGTGAGTAGGTAACCATACTGCATGCATACCTCATAGGGCATGATATGCAAGGGTGTATGGACAACAGTGGTATCACAGGTCACGTTTGGGAGATTACCAATCACTTCCTGTTAATACTGCATGAAAACACTTTTCACCACATGGGGAAGGTCTAGAAAATGTGTCGTCAGGTTATTAATTATTGTTGTTGGTGTCTTTCTGTCCCAGTGATAATTGCTACCCTTAATTAGGGCAAATGCCCTTCCAATGATTGTAATGCTTTTGGCCAGCTTCAGGTCTATAAAAGTATTTATCAAACCTCTAAATGACCACATGAACAGGTCAAGCTACAGAAGTGCAGACTCATACTTAGCAAGAGGTACTACAATGTGTGGCCAGGAATGACCGGCTAAGGAAGTGTTTGTTACCTGTGATTCCAGGACTGGATGGGTTTGAGACTGGCTTGATGCCTTCTGCTAACTGCTCCACACCCTTTGTAAGTGAATTTTCAACAAGGATGTCAGTTTCATCAAGATCATCACAAGTTCCTCCAATCTGAAGAAAATGAAGTTCTCCACCTTAAGTAAAAAGATAAGACAATCACCAAAAAGGAAGGGAAAATGTTTTACCAAAGCAGAATTTTGTGCACTCTGAAATTGTATGTTAAAAACTGCACACTTGCAAAACTATGCATTTTGTAGCTTGTCCAGGTCACCCAGCTGCTGTGCGGGCACACAGAGGATGTGGCTCCTGAATAGCCCCAGTGATCATAGGCTTTCCACACCTCCCTGATAGTATGTCATTATGCATCTACATGTACTTTAAGTGCAGAAACCCACACTGCACAATGTGGCCCATCCCAGTCCTGTACTGTGTTGTGCCCCCCTTCATATTTGTTGAAAGTTTACACATTGAAGTCCCATGGCTTTTATTTCTCCCTTAATCCCTGAAGTACCAGAAGGTTTTTTTCCCCCATTTTGAAGAGGTCTTGGATCCAACACCATATACCATTTAGGGTTTGCAGCCAACCCTAGCGTGATAGAGATATATACATATACACACACTTTTTTTTTTTTTTTTATTAATTAAGCACAGATAGGGCTTCAAGTTATTAAGTTTGTACACATATATTTTTATTTCCTAGGTTTTTGGGGAAGATTTAGTAAAAACCTTGGAAGAAAAATGTTTGTATTTAATACCATAAGTAAAATCTATTTCTTGGAGTCTATTGAGGAACACTGGAACTTAGAGACTGTCGGGTAACACTGCCACCTATAGCAAGATCGGACACTGGCAAACAAGTTGTGGGCCAGCCCAGTATTACCTCTGGTGCTCCCAGTATTCCTCAGGTTTGTGACAAAGGAGTACCAAGCACAAAATCGTAGGCAGATTGGTGGGATCCGTCTCTGACAATGGACTCCAAGAAAGGGATTTTTTTTTCACATCCATTGGGGGACACAGGAGATCAGAGACTGCCTGGACATCCAAAAGCAGTCCAACTAAGAGGCGGTCAACAGCAACAAAACACAAACAGGTCTATAAAAATAGAACTGGTGATTGCCTGAAGCTCAAAGAGCTACCTGAAGAACCTTGCCTCCAAAGCAGACATCAGATAAAGCCTGAACATCCTGCCGGTAGAACATGTGAACAGAAGACCAGTTGGCAGCCTTACAAATCTGGGAAACAGTTGCCTGATGCCAAAAAGCAAAGAAATGCTATCTACTAGAGTGCACCTTGACAAGGGTGGAATCTGATCCTTGATACTATAGGCTTGGATTATAGTCTGAGTCACCAAAAAAATGGTGGAATGAGCAGCAGGCTCCCCCTAATGGGGACCAGCAAAAATAACAGATTTCCAATAGGCAGTGTCTGCCAGGTAAAACTACATCCAGACAATGAAGGGAGATCTCCATTTGATGGACTGGAGATGGACAAAGGAGCAGAAGAATTATGTCCTGGATGAGGTGAAAAAGCAAAAAAAAAATCAGGTAGCCCCACTGCAAGGGTTAGGTGCTCAATTTTGGCAAAAATAACAGTTATACTCGCCCCAATCCACTATGTCCCCGAGTGTCCTCATGTCATATACAGGGTTTATAAAATGTCAGGGACCTTAGACCGCTGCAGGAGACAGAGAGAGGTTCCAGGGACCCATCTAAGAGCAATCCAGCTCAGAGGATCGGGTGATTATAACCATTTCTGACCCTAGGTAGCCCCACTGCAAGGGTTAATAGTTTTTTTAGCCATAGTTCTGCTTTAACACTTTGTTCCTGTGTAAAATCAGAAAGGGCTCTTTACAGTATGTAGTAGATCCCATCGCAATCCTGACGGTATAAAGCCCAAACGAAAACTGGAGGTGCCGAAATTGAAATCGAATGCCTCCACAGCTCAAAATACTGTTTGCCTGAAGGGACTGCGTCGCTTTGTGTATGTGACATCATGTTCAGTCAATAAAGGAGATTGACTGCTATCTACAAACGGAGTTCGAGTGACTTTATGGTATTTTGCAGGGCTCTTTACAAGACACACCCACTAGCTCAAAGACTTATCTAGCAGAGGTAATGACAGCTAGAAACACAACCTTGTGAAAGAGGACAGGACAATATCCCTCATTGGGTTCAAACCGCAGCTTTTGGAGTAAATTCAGAGCCTACAGAGTTTTTGGGAAACACCAGGGAGACACCTTGTACAATGGTTTTAGTCAAAGAAAGGGAAACCAGCGGTCTCCACTGTATAACAAGACTGCATGCAACGAAATCAGAGCTTTGATGGCACTAAGAGCCAAATTGCAAGGCCTTATTACAAAAAGTTTAGGATTAGTCCCATGGAGAATTTCCAGGGATTAAAGTACCTTGCCTCATATCTAGTGAAGTATGCCTTCCTTGTGCAAAGTAGACTTCCTAGCCTTTAACATTGTAGGGAATCAACTATTCAGAGACGCTTCTGTTCTTCAAAACCTGGGCTTCAACAGCCATGCTGTAAAAACCAGTATCCATGAAGTAGGGTGGTAAATCGGTCTTTAAGACAGAAGATCCACAATATCTGTATGTACACAGCAGACCATGTTGGAAGGTGACATTCTGCACAATCAGAATGTTGATCGGTAGATGAGATTCCTCCAGTGTCCAAGTTCCCAGCACCTATAAAGCACCCAGGACTCCTCTTCAAAAAAGGAGGCTACTATCAGACCCAAAACTGATGCTGAAGCAAAGTGTCCGGACGACTTCTAGACTGAAGAGCAAATTTTAGCAGCAGAGACTTTGATGTGTTTTTTGCTCTGGCTTGAGCAGTGTCTAGGACTAGGTCCAGATATTTGAGCAATGACTTAATTCCAGCACTAATGTCTGAAGTTTCAGGGACCAGCAAAAACTCTGCAAGGACAGTCCTGACTATGTTGCCCTCCAGAACCTGCGCCAACTTTGCCCCAAAAGAAGGTCAACCAGATAATGCACAATGGAGATGCCCTAGGAGTGCAGAAAGGCTAGCACAGGTAAAGCGTAAAGTTGTGCATTAGTGTACAGTTTATTTATGCCCATGGATTAAACAGCACAAGTAAGATTTAACTCTGGAGTGCAGCCCCCCCTTTTTTACACTTGGCTTAAGTGCCCGTCAGGCTGCGGCATGCCCTTGGCCGTTACACGACAAAATCAGATGAGATCCTTGGATTTTGGAGGTTGATGTGAGCGGAATACTCATGGTGCAGAAGATAGTTTGTGACCCTGCCATCTGGCCTGAAGGAGAATTATGAGGCGAGTGATTTTTCACTCAGCCTCATAATCTGAGACGACCTGTGACAATGAAACTGTCACAGGTCGGCTCAGTAGATGGGGAAGTGAGCAAACACATACAGTCGCTCGCTCACTTCTCGATCCATCCATGCAGAGAGCCGTGACTGTCACTCACGGCTCCCTGCAGGAATTCCCCCCCACCCCGCTCCGTTCCTCCAGCGCTGACTGGCGGAACGGACGGGGGAGGGGGCGGGCACAGCTGGCTCTGCCTCTGGATAGACTGAGCCAGCTGTCAAACCCGCAGCTGGGTGGATCTCGACAGCAATGTTGGGATCCGTTCCGGCTGCAGCATCTCAGTATACCACGAGCTGTAGCTCGCGGTATACTGAGCTTTGGGCTACGGGAGAACGCTAGCTTGTGTTCTCCCATGACCCTTAGGAGAACTATGGGGAAAAGCCCTGACCCCATAGTTCTCCTTTAAGTGCCGGAGAACCACATTAAAGTGAAGGAATCGTCTGACTAAAGAAGAGAGGCTGTAAGAGACCTGATGGATTCCATGAGGGAATTCCTGGACCACAATGAACACATTTAGGGACCTGGGGTGGGTGAAATGCCCTCTCTTTGGGATTTGGAAACTGAACAAGTTTGAGTAAAACCAAAAACATTTTACTACAGGGAGAGCTACTAATATGCGTGATGACATAAATTAGAAGAAACAAATCTGAGTAGGGACAGGGAGAAAAGTTCTAGCTTGCAGCCTCTGGAAACCATCTCCCACACCCAAGCATTTGAGATATTGGCTGACCAAATATCCACAAAGGCCAACAGTCTAGGGTTTAGGAGAATTGGAACAGAGGCCAGGTCCATCATCCCGATTTGTGAATACAGCCAGCAGACCAGCGCCAGAGAAGACAAACAACGCAAACACATATAATGCAGACAACAGGGGTCCGGTATCCAGCGAAGCATCACACATACAGGAGACAGAGGATCAAGCGAGCAGCTGCTTTCCAAAAAACAGAAGACATATTTTCACCTTCCAGACCCTGGCACAAAGCTTCGCCAACTCGGCGAGTGTCAGACACCAAGGCCGCTCCAGCGATGATATACATAGATCCAAACCTGGAGTTCACTCCCATGTCCATTGTTTCCCCAAAAGAGGGAGTCAGGGAGTCCATAAGCAAAGCCTTGCGCAGGACTGGTACACAACTGACTGGGGGAGATGTCTGCTGCTTTAGGGGACCCTACCTAAAAAGGTAGCAAAACGAAACACACCAAGGACATACTCACGAGGGACACTACCCTTCCCTATGTGGGATTGATAAGACAATGTAAACAAGTGGCATGACCCGTGTGCACCAAAGGAACATGAGGATCTGACGAAGCATCCACAGAATACTCAGACGCAAAGCCCCATAAAAGGTAAAGACCATTCCTTCACCAGCGGAGGAAACCTATCGTCACTGCCCGAGTAGCAGAGCCCAGCACACCCATGTCAGGAGAAACTCAAACCACCTAGATGGGCGCCGCCGACCCCCATTTCAGGACAAGGCTATACTATGCGGGAGCAGCCCTACCGAAATGGAGGCGAACACCTCCACAGCAACAGACGGTCCCGGGACCCCAGAGACCCCCAAGCAGACCCTGAAAACAAAGAAGAGTGAAGGTGTACGATTTGCAATGTGTGCAGGTCATGCTGGGACATGTAGCCATCAGTGTAAAATACACTGTATGTACATGGTATGCTGGGACTTGTAGTCCTCTAGTCTATATTATGCAGTACGCACAGGACATGCTGGGACTTGTAATACCCTAGTGTATAATATGCAATACGTAAAGGGCATGCAGAGACCTTTAGTCCTCTAGTGTATAAAATGCAACACGCACTGGTCATGCTGGGACTTGTAGCCCTCTCGTGTACAATACGCAGTAAATACAGGGCATGCAGAGAGAGATGTAGTCCTCTAGTGTATAATGCACAGTGCTTGCAGGGCATGCGGACACTTGTAGTCCTGTAGTGTATAATACACAAGACGCACTGGTCATGCTGGGACTAGTAGCCCTCCAGTGTGCAATATGCTGTAATTACAGGGCATGCTGGAACTTGTAGTCATCTAGAGTATAAAAAGCAGTATGTACAGTGCATGCTGGGACTTGTACTGCTCTAGTGCACAGGACATGCCAGGCCTTTTAGTCCTCTAGTGCATATTACGCAGTACGCACATGTCATGCTAACCCTAGTGCATAATATACAGTATGTACAGGGCATGCTGGGACTCGTAGTCTTCCAGTGTAGAATAAGTAGTAAACACAGGACATGTTGAGACCTGTAGTCCACTGAAGCTCCAAGCATAGTGTATGCAGGGAATCCCAGAAAGGAGGAGCAGACAATGCATTCTGAGGTTACATCCAACCCCCCAAGCGCCACCCACAAGTGACCATCAGTCCAGGGGTGTGGAATTCCTATCGCCCGACGCCCGGGACATGCAGTTTCGGGCGAGTAGTTTTTATTTACATTTAGCCCTGCTCTGGACAAGCAGACCTAAAATTTACATTGTGGAGCCGCAGCTCGTTTTTATACAGGTGATCTGATCAGATGACTTGTACGAAAGGAGCAGCCGCAATCGTGTCCGACTGTGATCAAAAACCCTCCATAAAGCGCTGCAGCAAAAGGCCACGTAAGAATGATCTACTGCTGGGTGCAATCAGCCAGCAACAGATCACTATAGCAGTGATCTATTGCAGCAGGGAGACGCTGTGCAGAGCTGCAACAGTTCTGCACAAACTTTCATACTGAGAAGTGCCGTGACATCCAATCGTTTCTAATTGAAACACTATGCGGAAGCATTATTCTTATAGTGGTTTGCTTCTATGGAGGACGGAGTAGCAAGGCTGGAAGCCCAGGAGCCGATAGTTTCAGCTCCTGGACATTGTGTTGGATGTCTTGTCACTGGCAGCCAGCAGTTTCAGCCTGCACTCACACTCAACCCATTTTAAAAAACAGCGCAGAGAAAAATAAACGGAAAAAAAATTAAAAATAGAAGGATTTCTTTATAAAGCAACCAACTATACAGCACAATAATTTGGCAGCCACAGTTCTGGATGTTCTAAAAGGTCCATTGCATGGCTTGCCTAAATAACCCTATCCTGTCAGAAAGCTATAGATTAACATTGCCTTGAAAGATGCTCAGTACTGAGAAAATATTAATTGACAACCCTACTTTGACAACTAGAAACAGTCAGATCCGGCTGTCACGTATCGAAAACAAAAATCAGAGTGCTTCTTTACCATGAGATCACTAGGACATGCAGCCTGGAAGTTTATCCACAAATAAAACAGGACAAAAAGACAGAGGAAACAGTGTACTAAATAAAAGCTGTATAAGTCCGTAAAATAAATGCAATTAAATGATGTAATTCAACTGTGTATTTAGCACCTGGAGTTCCACAATTCACACAACATGCAATATCATCACAAAGCTGTGTTCCTTACCTTTAGTACAGGCACACAGTCTATCTGTGCCTGAACAGTACACAACTGAAACAAAAGGATCCACTTCATCTGTGCCTTCCTTCTTTGGTGGATCCACCCTAGCCATGACCTCAAAGGTAGACAGATCTAGGATTTTTACAAAGCCACTTTGTGTAGTTACTACTAAATGTCCCAAGCTTGGCAAGTCAGGTTTTTTCTCTTTACTACTGAGAGTTTTAGGAGTCAAAGGGGCATCTTCTGAGGATTCCTCACACTCATCCTCTCCATTATCTAAAATATCAGGCTGTAATAAAATAAGTGAGGTAAGTGCATCCTGAGGGTCTTTAATATGCAAGATCTTTACTGGTTGTTCCTCCAAGGTCACTATCCTGGTAGTATAATTCATTTTGTAAATCAACAAGTATCCACCACTAACACTTCTCTGGTCTGGCTGAATTATTAAAGTATCATGAACATCTGCCGAGGACTCACAGGGAATAACATTAATACTTGTTCCATTCACAGCTCCAAGGCTGTGGTCAGCTTCTCCTTTCCTTCGGTTGCAAAGAGCGGAGTTTAATTTGTTTAAATTATTCAAGGCCTCAACTTGATTTATTGCACTCAAGGACTCTGCAGGACATTTCTGTAAACCTACTAAAAGATGGACACCGTCAGCACAAGGAATAATGGAATCTACACAAAGATTTTCCTCCTCAGCAAATTTAGGTAAACGCATGCATTGTACAAGCGCTCCAGGCTTGGGAACCATAGAAGTCCATTTATCTGTGTCAGGGGATGTCAGATTGGCAGTGGCCTCAGCAAACTGCTGTATATAGGTGACAGGTGGGTCCTGAAGAAGCAACTGCTCCTGGTTATCCAGCTCCATCTCAATGATCTGGGGAACAGTAAATCCATCATCATGTAAACTTTTGCTCATAATATTGTTCATTTGAGAAAAGAGTTTCCCTGCTTTTTCATCAGCCTCTTTAATGCTGTATAGCAACAACACAGGTAGAGTCCTTTTTACCATAGGAGAATTAATAGCAGAGTTCGTGCCAGATTCATTGTCAGTGGAACCTTGCTCTGAGGAGCTCTCGCCTGGAGTCCTGTTTAAAGCATCAAGTGACCTGCGAGAATTGCTACTAGTGGGGGAGGAAGCTGGGGACTTATACGTTAATAAACCTCCAGTCAGTAAGCAGGGAAAAGGAATGTTGTGCTGTTCCAAATGCTTCTCCTTGGTCTTTTCACTTTTACAGCTCATTAAGGAAGGATTTGCCCCAAGTTCTTCCAAGTCCTTTACAGTATCTTCAAGAACATTAGCAACAATTTCCCACTGTAACTTCTCTGGCTGTTGGAGTATGCCAAGAGCTGTGATGTCCAGGCCCATCTCCAGAGTTTCCTTGTGAGATGGGTGCCCTGCGCAAGAAAAGAAAAAAATATTAAGCTTTGTAAGAATCTGCTGAATGCCAGAAAGATGAAAATAGCAGCTGAACAGATCTACTCACCATCGTGCTCAGTATGCATTCTGCAACAAGTGATTGTGCAGTGGCTATTTTAAACTGCATGCTGTGCATCCATTCAGTTCCAAACACTTACAAGTAGATATTTAAGTCTAAGTACACCTAAATTCGAGACAGTTCCTCCATTTCGTATTTGTATTAAAGATTTCATTTTTTTAGCCAGTAAAAAAATGCATTAAATTGTTCTGACACAGAGATGTCCAAACAAGGGGGAGTCCACTATTTTTCCTTAAAGAACTATGAGGTGAGTGAAAATCACTCACCCTCATAGTTTGAGCCAACATGTGACAATGGAACTGTTACACATCAGCTCAATAGAACGGGAAGTGAGCGAACACATACCGTCGCTCGCTCACTTCTCGATCATCTCCCTGCAGAGAGCTGTCAGTCACCTCTCCCCTCAGGGATTCCACCTTCCCTCCACCCCACTCTGATCCACCAGCGCTCACTGGAGGAATTGACAGGGGAAGGGGCGGGCACAGCTGGCTCTGCCTGTAGATAGGCAGAGCCAGCTGTCATTTACGCAGCTGGGTGGATCTCGACAGCATTGTCAGGATCCGTCGCAGCTGTGCGGCGGTCTCAGTATACTGCAAGCTGTAGCTTTGGGTCACGGGAGGATGCTAGTATATGTCCTCCCGTGACCCTTAAAGAGAACTATGGGGAAAAACACTTACCACATAGTTCTTTTAAAGATGCTTTTTTTTTTTTATAAACCCAACACAAGCTATTATCAGGATAAACCATACCTGTTACAGAATCAGACCTTGACCGCTCTTCACTATCAGAATCATCCAGCAAGTCATCACTGCAAATGGAAAACAAAAATTATTAAATCAATATCAACAGAAATGTCATTCATGGATAGCGCCTGTTAAATAAATAGTACTATCCAGAGGCGTAATCTACAGGAGATGAAAAAAACTTTGCTAGTGCCCAACTTCCTAGGCATAAATGGTACAGATCTCTTATGAGCAAAAAGACAAAAATTGTCTTCAAGCAATCCGGTACTGAAACATATGAAGGCTGGCATTAGGGCCTTCTAAAAGTGGTAGTGGAGTGGCTCACTCTGGCATCAATTTTTTTTGAGTAGCAAATATGCAGCCAATGAAGTCAAAATTCCTCATCTGTGCAGATGTTCTCTGTAGATGATAATCAAAGGCAGAGGTTTAGCATGACAGACAGCTATCCAAGTAACCAGAAACACTAATTTGTATCCGAGTGCTCCCTTGCTGCCAGAGGTCAAGCTTTGGGTGTTGTGTGTTTCAGGGCCGGTTTGAACAATCTCCTGTGCGTTTCGGCACGGTTAGTGGCTGGAAAGCACTGGATCGCACAGTGAAAGCCTCCCTGCATTCTGAGGTGGGAGGGGGCATGGCAGTGCCATTCTGGAGATGTTGTGAACCGGCCCCCAGCACAGACACGGCTTTTAGATAATTAATGGTTATACTGATAGAGCCCCATCAAAGGGATAAGGGTCCTAGGGTGACGGGCTTACATAAGCCTCAATGTTTCATTTTGCCAATGTGATACCTCCTCTGGCACACTTTCACTTCATTTGAGACTCTGAAGCAAATAAAGCCTCGTTAATCAAATGAATGGTAAAAAAATATATAAGTGCCAGAAGAACCCCATCACATGACCTGTCTAAGGGCATTGGCTAATGCCCTTTAAGGACAAGTTATCGCATTCTCCCATCTGGATTTTCTGCAGTGTTAGGCAGGGAATATACTACAGGACAATGGAGGCTCCATAATGTATTGAGTATTTTTAATGATGTCCTGCAGGGAGGGGAAGTACGTGTATCTGTAAACACAAGCCCAGGGGGGTCACAATTTCCTTACAAATTAATGTTTTAAAACATATTTGTCCATGTAGGTTACAACCAGATTTTCACTTTGTTTTTTCAGTTCAGAAAGGGAGAAGCAGAAGTTTGCCATTTTATTGGCCAAAGTTATTTTTTTACTTTCATTCATGTGGCCCACTGGGTACAGTCTTACCTGTCACCTTCTAATTTTGGGATATCAGAACAGCTAGATGAACCTTCTAACCATGCCAGTGTCGGCCTTGCAGGTTCCACCGTGGTACTGGAATCTCCGGCGAGAACCAAGAGCTGAACGATAACCGGGTCATATGGGTTTACCTCAAATTTTAAGTGCACCTAGAAATAATTTGTAAGATGTTATACAAGAAAATAGAACTTTGTTACTTACAGAACATAGGAAATAAAAAAAAAAAGACCGATACCTTCATGAGTTTAGAGACATCCCAGACACAAACTTTGCCTCTTTTGGTTGCCGCAGCTAGAAAGTGAGGACAATTCCCCACCCCAAAACATGTTATTCGATCTGTGCCATCTGTGCAGGGAAAATGTGCAGGACATGTGGCAAGGGTGACGGAGAGGGGTACATTCTGAGTGTGTTCACCCTTTACAAACGGACAATTTGGAGAATGCCTCTCATGTTCTGACCTGTGAAGAAGAAGAAGAAACTTTGTCTTTGGAAAAGGACAACACCACAGGAGAAACAGTTGTGAGGTGAATACAAATGGAGCGAGTCTGGTTATAATGGACAACTGTCCCCATAATGAGGGGAAAAGTACATGAATGTACAGAGGTGTCCAACGAAAAACTGTCATGAGAGAAAAACGGAGCTGCCATTAATGACAAGAAAATGCTAGATGCCAAAGTCTGGCTACAGTCACTTACTGAGGCCAAGTATTCAGGAATTTATATTTCACTTGCTGCATACTTCTTCCAGCTCACTATATTGAAGCCAGAGAGTGTTAGGGGCCAATAGCATTTTCCTAAGGAGGTCAGCAACAGCAGCTTCCATATTATAACAGATCATAGTAATTACTCCAAAATGACAAAGAAAAGACAGTATCCAGGATTAGGGTTCTCCCATCTGCAAAAAGCTGAGGACACCCTGCTTGTTTTTAAGGAGCCAGGAAAGATTGACAGCAGGGCCACCTGTGGAGTCTCCAATCAGCTCACTCCAGTCATAATCCAAAAATGGACTGTTAGTAGGGGCTAATACCACGGCAAGACTACCAAATACGTATATAGCATTAAACCTTCCCCCCTCTCACACCTCCACCAGCGGTCAGACTGATGGAAACACTCTGAAGGATGGCAGGGCATCTATAACATCTGGTTAGGATCTTATAATTTCTCTCCTGTATTTGACTAGCTATAATCATCTTAAAATGTTCAAAGACTTCTCCCAGTCAAAGTCTGAAATGAGGTGACCCAACTCCCTATCCCTGGTGTAGAAAGGGCGGTTTGGGAAGGCATTCGCGAAGAGAATGGAGTAAAGCTGTGATATAGCACGCGTACACTATGAACTGTTCTAGAGGTGCACCGAAATGGAAATTTTTAAACCGAAAAGAAAAAATTTTCATACCAAAAATGTTTTTTATTTACATTTTTTTAATTTTTTTATTTATAAACTTTAATTTTTTTTATATTTGTATTTATTAATTCATTTTTTATTACATATTTTTTATTTTTTATATTACTTTTAGGGCTTTGGGGAAATATTAGAGGTCTAAACAGACTCCTGATATTTCCCTTTTAAAATAGAAAAAGAGGACTCCGTGTTCTCAATCTCTCTTT